CAGAATTATTAAACAAATTTAGCAAATTTGACAAATATAAGATCACCCTATAAAAGGCAATTCTTTTTTTTTTTTTTTTTTTTGACAGGCAGAGTTAGAGAGTGAGAGAGAGAGAGAGAACGGTCTTCCTTCCATTGGTTCACCCCCCAAATGGCCGCTACGGCCAGCGGCCAGTGTACTGTGGCTGGCGCGCTGCGCCGATCCGAAGCCAGGAGCCAGGTGATTCCTCCCAGTCTCCCATGCAGGTGCAGGGCCCAAGCACTTGGGCCATCCTCCACTGCCTTCCCGGGCCACAGCAGAGAGCTGGACTGGAAGAGGAGCAACCGGGACAGAATCTAGTGTCCCAACCGGGACTAGAACCCAGGGTGTCGGCACCACAGGCAGAGGATTAGCCTAGTGAGCTGCAGTGCAGGCCTATAAAAGGCAATTCTAAGACTTTTGCTTTAAATGGAGAAAGATGCAACCTAACAAGGAAGCAAACAGTCCTCACTTTCCTTAACCGCTCAGAGAGGGAACTGGAGTCACAGATAACCAGCTAGTCTGAAACGCAGAATAAACCACGCCCAGCAAACTGAACACCAGGCCAGTCTCACCTATGAAAACACTGGAAGAAGAAGCACATCACATGAGCAAGAATTAGCTAGAACTTTTAAAAAGCACCAAAGGCCAGGGGCCGGGGCTGTGGTATAGCGAGTAGGGTCGCCACCTGCAGTGCTGGAATCCCACATGGGTGCCGGTTCGAGTCCCGGCTGCTCCACTTCTGATCCAGCTCTCTGCTGTGGCCTGGGAAAGCAGAAGATGGCCGAAGTCCTTGGGCCCCTGCACCCGCGTGGGAGACCTGGAAGAAGCTCTTGGCTCCTGGTTTCTGGCTTCAGATCAGTGTAGCTCCAGCTGTTGTGGCCAACTGGGGAGTGAACCAGCAGATGGAAGACCTCCCTCTCTCTCTCTCTGCCTCTCCTCTCTCTGTGTAACTCTGACTTTAAAATAAATAAATATCTTTTTAAGAAAAGGGGCCAACTATGTGCTAGCACGGAAATGCTGGGGACATCTGGCCGATCGGAGCCTGCACTCACCCTCAAGCTGCACAGGCTGCCCTGGAGGGCTCAAGACAAAGGCCGGGGCAGGGCAGTGGACCGAGGTGGCTCGCACTGGCCGTGCAGGCAGTGTGGTGGCATCAGAGCGTGGGAGCAAACTGGCTCCACAGGTCACCGACATCCGTGACCCTTCTTTCACAGGCAGTGAAAGCTTTCGATCGCAGGACGTCGTGTATCACACACTGTTTCACGTGGGCCTCTGAAGGGGTGCTGGCACCCAAGGCCTGGCCCCCACCCTGCCCCCTTCTCCCTGGGGCACAGCAGCTGTAACCCACTTGAGAGAGGACGCAGGCACTCGTCCTGCAGGCCACGCACAAAGGGCAGCGCAGTAACTCTCTGCCTTTTACGACAGCCAGGATGCTGTGTTTTTTGGTCCTACGATTTGAAGAACACAATGATCTTACTACCAGGGGATCTAGCTGCAGGTGTAAGGCAGAATTTGGCTACGGCAAGAGGTAACTGTGGTTAGCAGGCTTTTTTCTTTCCTTAATGGAACTTGACAAGCTGAGCCCACCATTTTAATGGAAGACCAAAAGCCAAGAAAAACCAGAGAGAGGGGGATATTCACACATGTTCCGTAGTTGAAAGAATTTAGTCAGCAGAGAAAACCAACATGCCAGAGAGGAGACCAGACACAGACCAGCGCATACATGGGACTGCGACGTGTCACAGGGCGGCAGTGCAGACGGAGCGGGAGAGGAGAGCACTGGTGGACCACTGATTATTCACATTAAAGAAAAAAAAAGGACAGAAAGCAGATTCGGAGACCCAGTGGAGAGCTTGGATGTTATGCTAAGAGAAACCTTCCCAGATTCCCCCAATAGAAGAGTAACTCCGACAAGTACTTCCTCAGTGCTGTTTCTCTTGGAGACCTCCACCAGCTGTAATCACACGTGTGTCCTTTCCACGCGCTAGCACAGGAGCTCAGGGAGTGCAGGAGTTGAAACTCAGGGTCGCCACTTCGTCATCGAACCTTGCAGGTAGTCAGTGTTAAGCCACTGCTGAGGGATAGACAGATGGCTCCCCGCCCACTACCCAGAGATCTGCCTTTGGCCTTCTGCTGCTCCCATAACTTTGGGCTCCCAAATCCTTGACCCAGCCAGCTCAAGTCCCGCTTGCTCTTCAGGTCTTGGCTTATGTTTCCTACCTTGGAGCAACCCATTCCCCAGAGAAAATAAAAGTTACTGGATCTTAGCACAGATTATACTGTCTTGATATTTAAATAACATTTATTCTTAAGGAAATTATTTTATGCTTTAAAAATAATTCAAATATAAGAAATTACATATAAGAAATTATATATTTCTTATATTTGAATAAGAAATTATATACATATAAGCATAGGTAAATTTTTTCAAAAGTGATTTTATAAGCTTTCTACAACGAAACACTTATATAAATTAACTGATCCAGAATGTTACTCATACAAAAGACATCTAAAATAAAAAAGCAATTCTAGCAATCACTGATAGTTTTCTTAGAAAATTCTACAATCCACATTTTAAAAGTACTACTCCCAGCATTCGTTATGTCCGATTTCCACCTTATCTCTACCTCAGAGTAAGTGGCCTCATGGTGCATGGTGCCATTGGCTCTGGACAAGATAAGTGTTGACAGTTCAATACACACACAATACACAGATTTCAACGGCTGGAAGACGAAGGCCACTACTTTGGGGTGAGTGTCTTAGTCTGTCCAGGCTGCTATAACCAAAGTGCACAATTTGAGGGCTTTGTAAGCAGCACAAATACACTCCCCATGGTTCTGGAGCCCAGGAAGTCCGAGCTCAGGGTATCAGTAGATGTGATGTGTTGGGGAGGTCCACTTTCTGGTTCATAGGTGGTGCCTTCTCTGTGTGTTCTCACATGGGTCTCTCTCTCTTTTTATTTTAAATATTTATTTTATTTATTTGAAAGACAGAGTTACAGAGAGAGGTAGAGCCAGAGAGAGAGAGAGGTCTTCCATTCCGCTGGTTCACTCCCCAAATGACCACAACGGCTGGAGATGTGCCGATCCGAAGCCAGGAGCCAGGAGCTTCCTCTGGGTCTCCCATGTGGGTGCAGGGGCCAAGCAGTTGGGCCATCTTCTACTGCTATCCCAGGCCATAGCAGAGAGCCAGATTGGAAGAGGAGCAGCCGGGACTAGAACCGGCGCCTATATGGGATGCCGGCGCTTCAGGCCAGGACTTTAACCCACTGTACCACAGCGCTGGCCCCAAGGGGGTCTCTTTTATAAGGGCACTAGTTCCACTCATGAGGGCACAGTCCTCAAGACCTAGTCACGGGGCTGGTGTTGTGGTATAGCGGGTTAAGCTGCCACCTGCAGTGCTGGCATCCCATATGGGCACCAGTTCAAGTTCTGGCTGCTCCATTTCTGATCCAGCTTCCTGCTAAAGGACTGGGAAAGCAGAGGAGGATGGCCCAAGTACGTGGGCCCCTGCACCCATGTGGGAGACCCAGATGAAAACTCCTGGCTCCCGGCTTCAGCCTGGCCCAGCCCTGGCTGTTGTGGTCATTTGGGGAGTAAACTAGTGGATGGAAGACTTCTCTCTTTGCCTCTGCCTCTGCCTCTCCCTCTCCCTCACTGTAACTCTACCCTTCATATAAACAAACAAACAAACAAATAAATAAATCTTATTAAAAAATATCTAACCATGTCCCAAAGGCTACCTCCTAACACCATGATTTTAGGGGTTAGAATTTACAGGTGGGGCACATTCAGATCATGGCTGTGAGTTTCTGGTAATCTGAAATTGTTGCTGTTTTGGTTTTTAGATTTGGGAGTTGGATCCATATCATCCTTACAAGAGAGTTTTTAGGCCTTAAGGATACCTTTAAGGGTCACTGGTTTGGAGCCAGCTTCGTGGCATAGCAGGTTAAATTGCTACCTGAGATGCCAGCAGCCCATTTCAGTGTCTGTGTCCTGGTTGCTCCACTTCCAATCCAGCTCCCTGCTAATGCTCCTGGGAAAGCAGTAGGAGATGGCACAAATACCTGTACTCACATAGCAGACCGGGATGAAGCACCTGGCTTTAGCCTGGCCCAGCCCTGGCCGTTGAGGCTATTTGCGGAATGAACCAGTGGATGGAAGATCTCTCTCTCTCTCTCTCTGTCAAATAAACAATCTTTTTTTTTTAAAAGAGTCATTGGCTCTTGTCAATATCTTTTTTATTTTTTATTTTTTACAGGCAGAGTGGACAGTGAGAGAGAGAGACAGAGAGAAAGGTCTTCCTTTTGCCTTTGGTTCACCCTCCAATGGCCGCTGTGGCCGGCGCACCGCGCTGATCCGAAGGCAGGAGCCAGGTGCTTCTCCTGGTCTCCCATGGGGTGCAGGGCCCAAGCACCTGGGCCATCCTCCACTGCCTTCCCGGGCCACAGCAGAGAGCTGGCCTGGAAGAGGGGCAACCCGGACAGAATCTTGTGCCCCGACCGGGACTAGAACCTGGTGTCCCGGCGCCACAAGGCGGAGGATTAGCCTATTGAACCACGGCGCCGGCCTCTTGTCAACATCTTATAAGAATTCCTGAGAATTCTGTGCACCTGGCACGCAGGATCTCATGTAAGATGGCCTCCATCGCATTAGATGTGTGTGTCTTGAGGACATGTAAGACTTGTCTTATGAGTAGACGGTGTGTATAAACTAGCTCAGGACAAGTGTGCTGCTCCAGATGAGGAATGTATGTTTCTACAGCTTGGGCTGCAGACAGAAACGGCAGAAACGGCAGTCTGCTTCTACAACTGGGGCATCAGAAAAGGCATCTTGGACTCTACAAATGTACTCATATTTGGCCTTGAGGAGTATCAAAAAAATGACTCTATTTGAATAAAAAATTACCCAAAAAAGTAGGCTCAACATTTAGAATCTAGAAGCCAGTACATAATCAGAATAACTGAGACAAATCACTACCTGGAGCGTATCAGTTTTCCATAGTGAATATTCTTGAATTTCTTGGTGTGGACAGTTTCCGGAGGCTCATTCAGAGGTACGTATGCAAAAAAGAGCATTTCGTTTAAGGAGATATACTGGGGAGCTAGTGCAGTCTCAAAGCCCATATCAGGAGCCTGGAATGGGAAAAAAGAAAGCATTTCATTGAAACTTTTTATACTTTAGTAGTTTTGACAAAATTCAAATAACAGACTTATTTCCACTTCACTTGAAAACAATACTGCCTTACTTATTAATTGGGGGTAATATTTCAACATTTTCTTTTGAATATTCATGTGTGCACAAGGGCACATGCACTTTTCTGTTGAGGAGGAAAGCAGTCCTGGTAACGAAGACTGAACTTAAGATTCCTCACCCTCTGCAGACGGCAGACGGCTGGAGTGGAAGGGCATGTGGAGGCTCGGCTCCTGCTGTTTGTGTGTGTGAGGGGTTGGAGGTGCAGGGTGTAGACCTGGTTCTGTGTGTGTGTGAGGGGTTGGAGGTGCAGAGTGTAGACCTGGTTCTGTGTGTGTGTGAGGGGTTGGAGGTGCAGGGTGTAGACCTGGTTGTGTGTGTGTGTGAGGGGTTGGAGGTGCAGGGTGTAGACCTGGTTCTGTGTGTGTATGAGGGCCTGGGGGTGCAGGGTGTAGACCTGGTTCTGTGTGTGTGTGAGGGGTTGGAGGTGCAGGGTGTAGACCTGGTTCCGTGTGTGTGTGAGGGGTTGGAGGTGCAGGGTGTAGACCTGGTTCTGTGTGTGTGTGAGGGGTTGGAGGTGCAGGGTGTAGACCTGGTTCTGTGTGTGTGTGAGGGCTTAGGGGTGCAGGGTGTAGACCTGGTTCTGTGTGTGTGTGAGGGGTTGGAGGTGCAGGGTGTAGACCTGGTTGTGTGTGTGTGTGAGGGTTGGAGGTGCAGGGTGTAGACCTGGTTCTGTGTGTGTGTGAGGGCCTGGGGGTGCAGAGTGTAGACCTGGTTGGTGTTTGGAGTTTTATCTAGGAACAGGCCCGTGAAGTCCCTCTGCTTCTTCAAAAGCTGTCGCTCCGCCTCAGTCCAGGGACTGCAGGACACCAAGCGTCCTGACTCCATGGCCACACCTTCCTCACTTCCCCTGGTTCACAGACATCCCCTGCAGCCGTTTCTGGCCTGGACTTCTGACCTGTGTCCTTTCAACACAGCCTTCTCCAATCCTGATTCTGGCCAGCTTTGGGAATTTTTAGGGGTGGGGACCAAACCTGAAGGGGATGTTGGGGCTGACCTCGTCTGCTAGGGGCCAAGACGTAGGTATGATGTGGGGCACACCCATTGCAGGCACATCCACCAAATAGTGCCTTCATGATCCATTTTTCTATCATGATTTTTTTTTTGCTAGTGCAGGACCGAGCAAATTGCTTGAAGGCTCTTGAAAATTACTGAAAAGGCTGAGAAGTATTTATAATTCTGCTAAGACATTTGAATCTTAGAGCGGCAAGGGTGTCCCATGCAAAGTATATGCAAATCCACAAAAGGCTAAAGGACAGGCCTTGAAGCTGGTTGGCTGGCAAGTGGCTGGTTGTGCAATTTAGGGTAATTATCTGGCCTCTCTGTGCCTCCCTTTCCTTAGAAGCAGGATGAGGAAGGATCGTCATCACGAAGGTTAGGAATGCACACAGTAAGAGCTCAGAGGTTTCAACTGTCATGACTTAAACTATTACATAAGGGAACTAAGGCACTTTATAAAGTGTGCTGGCAGGGGCCGGCCCTGTGGCGCCGCCTGCAGTGCCAACATCCCATATGGGTGCGGGTTTGAGTCCCGGCTGCTCCGATTCCTATCTAGCTCTCTGCTTTGGCCTAGGAAAGCAGTAGAAGATGATCCAAATCCTTGGGCCCCTGCACCCGCGTGGGAGACCCGGAAGAAGCTCTTGGCTCCTGGCTTCAGATTGGCACAGCTCTGACTGTTGCAGCCAACTAGGGAGTGAACCAGTGGATGGAAGACCTCTCTCTGTGCCTCTCCTTCTCTCTGTGTAACTCTTTCAAATAAATAAATAAATCTTTTTTTTTTTTTTTGACAGGCAGAGTGGACAGTGAGAGAGAGAGACAGAGAGAGAAAGGTCTTCCTTTTGCCGTTGGTTCACCCTCCAATGGCCGCCGCTGCAGCCGGCGCACCGCGCTGATCCTGGCAGGAGCCAGGAGCCAGGTGCTTTTTCCTGGTCTCCATGGGGTGGCAGGGCCCAAGCACCTGGGCCATTCCTTCCACTGCACTCCCTTGGCCATAGCAGGAGAGCTGGCTCTGGAAGAGGGGCAACCGGGGACAGATTCGGGCGCCCACCGGGGACTAGGACCCGGTGTGCCGGCCGCCGCAAGGTGGAGGGATTAGGCCTAGGTGGAGCCGCGCGGCCGCGGGCTAATAAAATAAATTCTCTTTAAAAAAGTATGATGTAGTTGGACCACTGAGGAACTGCCTTTGTGGTAGTTCTGCCCTCCCGA